TTTCATTGAGAATTTACATTAGAGAAACTTCATATATTTCGATTACAACACTTTAGAAATTATTCACCAATAATAAAGAATGAAAAATAATTTCCAGAGACAAGAAATTTCAATTTGTTATAAATCGATGTTTTGTGACTTGACGATAGTTTAGATCAGATATTATTTCAGAACACATTAATTGAAATATCACTAAAAAAATATTTCTTAAACAGGTTTTCATTAATTTTTCTCAATGTAGCACCATTACTATTCATTATATAAATAATCATCAAAAGAGAAACATCATTACTAAAACTTAGTTATAAATTTAAAGAATAAGAAGAAAAAATTTAAAATAACGTGAGAAAGCAATAGAAATTCAAGAAATTTAAAAGAAAAAATTGAAAAATAAAAGATTGATCATATCTGAAATACTGAAATTAGATTTTTCTCTTTTTTTTTTTTTTCAACAAAATATTTTTTTTTCTCGATTATACATTAAAAAGTATCAGTATAACAATTATCACAAAATAATCATTTCACTTTCATTAAATTTTAGAAACAAAAATTTACAAAGATTCTTTCCTATCAACAATGTAATTAAAACCTTGCATAATTTTAATAACTTACTTAAATTGCTAGAACTCCGCCATTTTCTATCGCAAGAATCGTTATTTCCGGCCGGAATCTGATGCCGGTGCTTGATAATAATGAGATCGAATTAAACGAGGATGGTTCTCTATTTTTGGTGAAATTAATGAACACTTTTGCAGATGTTCGTAATAAAATAGGACGATTTAGTAGATTCTCAACCTGTGTATTACGTACAGATACATGTGTGTGTCATCTAATATCTCGTTAGTAATGCGATACACCGGCGCACTATGTATATTTTATACGTTTATATGCGTTTCTCCGCGTATTTATTTACAAGTTTATTTGTTATATAAGAGCACGGTTGCACCATTCTGATTTAATGTTCTGCAATCTTTTATTTGGATGTTAAAAGAAACTTACTTTAACATCTTTTTCACCGATTTAAGTTGTTATATTGCTTTGAAAAATCAAATAATTGTTCAAAATCGTACAGGCACATATACTTTATTTGCAAAATTTGCTCTCTCCATCGTATCTTATTAATTATCAAATATATTCGTCTCGATTAATCAAGTTTTAACTTTTTATTTCAACTTTAATTATTAAATCGAACATTGCGTTTTACAATTGAAGATTGAACATAAAAGAAATTGTATCATAATTTTTCTATTCTGAAACATAATGTGAATTAATTATAATATACGTTATACATATACACATATACATATAATATACGTTATACATATATATAAATTAAAAGAAAATTTTAATTATCGAAAAATTTTTTCTCAACAATTGTAATTTTGGCATATATATTCTATCTCACGTCCAATCTTCAATCAGAGAAACGTGATTAGAGGAATGGATGAGAGTGATTTTTGTGTGCAATTATCTTCCTTTCATTGATCATTATTCAAGTTTTTTAATTAATAACAATCGAGACCGAGAAAAATTTTAAATTTTGAATATTTTGCTATTGTTACCAATGAGGATATTATCTTAAAATTGAAATTATATTTCGTTTCTACATGCTACCAAAATTCTCGTTCTTCCATTTTTGTTCCATTAAAAAATATTTTCCACTATCTTCCTTATCTTCTTTCCCCTATTTTCAATTACTCGTAAACATTTAGACACACCGGTGTGGCAAAAAGTAGATATCAATTCTATATGCTTTTAAATCTCATAATACCGATGATCGATCGCCATTTTAATCCTCTTACATCGGAAGATATTCGTAGGATTAACTTAACATTGTAAATTTGCACTATTACTTTGTTGCATTTCGTATAAAACAATTGTTAAATCTTAATGTCAGTTTAATTTCAATTTAGTGTTATTGACTTTATTATTGTTTGATAATTGTTAAAAGATACTTGTAATAAGAATAATAAATGAATTGTTAAATTGGTAAATTCATAGTGTTTTTGGCAATAGATATTTAATAGGTATAGTTTGAAATTAAATCTAACTCAAACTTAACCTAACAATGCCATAAAAAAAGTTGAAATATTCTTTTAAGAAATAAAGATTACTTAGTAGAAGATAAGTAGAATATTTTATTTTTCATTTTTAATTGATAAAAAAATTTGCTCAACAATGGATCGATCATCGTTGTCGAAGAGAAGAATAGATAGAAAAAGAAGCAGAGAGAAAAATTTCTAATTCAATAGGGGAAAATAGCAGATCCCTATATTCTCGGGATTTTTATAAAAAAAAAAAAAAAACTCACGAGAGAAAATTTAAGATGCATTCACCGATTTGGCCCATATTTTGCATACAAATAATACACGTTATGCATAATGCATCTTCAAAGGGAAGAAACGCCGTACAAACTTTGCTGTTACAACTAGAACTTGAATTCAAGATGCTAGGAAATGTAATTTGACATAATTACGAATCATTTATCATGTAAAATTTTCTATTTTTATTTTTTTCTTGTATCATTAGTTTATTAAAGTTAATTTATTAGTCGAGAATATTTGTAACAATTCAAATATCTTTTAATATTTTCTTTTTTAACGTTTCTTTTTATTTTCCTTGTATCTAGTGGAATTTATTTTCTTACGTTTCCAAGTTATATTTCATCTATTAGGCCAAGTATACTTTATGATGATCAGATAGAAATAGAATATCTCTCGATACCATGGAAATAGGTTATAACAGGGCATTTTCAAACAAATTTCGTTCAATTACTATTAAAAGAGAGTCAAATAGTTCTTCATGAAATATAAATATTCTTTTTTTTCTTGCTTTAACAACATAACCTATTTCTTCACTCGATACGCATATTGTCTCGAATAGGTTAACGACAAATCGTCTGCGATATATTGTGACGAATTTTAATATTCACCGAAGTTGAAACAGAGATTTGAATAAAAGATCCAGAAAACGATATTATCGCTGCAGCGACAATCGTTGCTTGGCAGGGAATTCTCAGTCATAAATTCGACTGTCGCGTTGCTTGCCAAACGTGGTTTGTTTAAAAATTGACGCGTGCGGTGTCCAAACGAAACTTGGAAATTTATGGCTAGACTTTATTCTAACCTTGAATCGCACGATGGAGATTTCTTGCACGCGTCGACGATGGCTGCAGTCGTCTGAGAATGGCACTGGTGAGACGTCATACGGAAAATTGAATTGTTTCGCGAAAGCACGGAAGCGGATGAGATGAGAAAATAACCTGATTGTTTAGTCTTCATTTGTGAGAACATTTTCGCGGATTAAGGGAAATTTTGAAACGAATTTCGATTCGATTAAATTAAATCGTTCGTAAAACGACAATGAATAATTTATACTTGCTTGAAAAGCAACATTGATTAAAATTTTCACGACGAAATTAATTTATTGATATAAGAAAAAAAAATTTAGGCATTTTTACATTATTAGCGAAATTTTAAATTGTAAATGACTATAATCAACTTCGAAAAGAAAAAGAAAAAGAAAAAATTTTGAAAATTATTAGTTAATCTAATTATCTTGTTTCGTGCCAAATATTATTGTAAAAAAAAAAAAAAGAATCCGTAAATTATAACTTGTCAAATCATTAATAATATTATTAGTTGATAAATTGTGAAAATACGATTATTTCAAGATATTTTTTTGTTCTAATTTCTTTCACAGATAATAGATAATAGATAGCAAATAGTAAATGAAAGTTTAATCGAGCGAAACGTTCTTTCATTAGTTGAACGATTTTAATGCAAATTGTGCGTTCGAATGGCGCTATTTTCAGCGCGATTTAACGCATTTTCTTATTAAAACGGTAGCTTGATTAATCCAAGTTTCTCTTTATCCGATTGACTCTATTGTATTCGAAATAGAATGGAAGCTTTTACTGCTTGGAAAATGTATAATATAATATAGTTAGTTGGAATGAAATGAACAAAAATGAGAAATGATATTTTTTTGTTGGAAGAAATCTCTCTTAGAAAATTTGATTTCTAAAATTGTATAAAAATTTTAATGAAATTGTTATTTAACCTATTATTAGATTAGTTTCTAATCTAAATATTGGCGAAGAAGTAGTGGTTGAAGTTAGAATAATCTTTGAATAAGTTAATTACGATAATAATTATTATTATTCGAACGATTTCGAAAATCGATAAATGTTATTCGAATAATTTACTTTCAATCACCCTTAATATCAACGAGTCTATGGTGAGAAAATTAAAATTAAATACCTCGAAATTAATAACCCTCTATTATCAATACACAACAATTTTCCTCGATTGAATGATACCAATTAAATGGTATGTACAAATTCCAATTAATAATTCAATAAAAATCGTATTCATTTTTTCTATGTACAATAATCTCCTTAATTTCATTCTTAATAAAAATAATTTTAACTAAGTCATATAATATACAAAATTAATATCGTTCCAATATCGGATATTTCAATTCAATCCATTAAAAAATTCTTTTCTCCTCGTAATAAAGTCACTTCAAATTATTCTAAAAAAAAAATTTTTAACGTAAAATTCCTTAAGAGCTTGTCTGTAATAGTAATACCAGCAAAATTCAGTTAATTATCCAATCGATCAAGTGGAATTATCGAAGGGTTCCTGCGATTCAACTCGTTCGGTCGATTACTCTTCACGGTCCATAAATCATCGTCGACTCTTGGATTCGACGATAATTCGAAAAATCGGTGGATAGTACACGATTCTTGTTGAAAACGTACGGAGAAATCTTACACGCATAGTGATTCGCTAAAGTGCTCCAATATTTTCTTACTTTTTAATAATTAAATATCAATGATCGATTATTTATTTCTTAATGGAACTTTATGAGTACGTGTACAATGGATTAGACGGGGCAATTTTTCTTTTTCTTTAAAGATACGAAATTGATCTTCGAAATTCTAGTTTTCTTTTTCTTTTTTTTAAAAATATAACGACGAGCGAGAGTTGGAGCAAAACTTTAAATTATTCAGCGCTCCATTATCGTAAGAAAAACTTCCAAATCAAAATAGGTCAACTTTGGAGATTGATTTGATCATCCTTCAATAGATTTTCTAAAAAAAAAAAAAATTTCCCCTCTATATTATATTATACGTACACACAAATTTTCCTTCAAAATTTTTTAGAATTTTCAAAATTAAACAAATTTCCCTGGAGACATTGTTCAAATACTTTAGCGAACCACCGTGTATGTACATAGCAAAAAAGAGGAAGGGGGAAACAAGATAGGAGAGAGAGAGAGAGAGAGGGGGAAGAAGTGGAAAAATGGGACAAAGGTCGATTCCTTCGTTCCTTGGTTGAACGTCAGCTCGATCGAGGTAAAGGGGAGCCATTAGTCACCGGGTTTCGGCGTTATACGGTGATGTAGTACGCCCTCGGCTTGCCTCTCGACGTGGTCGGGCTGAAAAAGACGCCGGGCGTCGACGGTGAGAAGGACCACGATGCCCACGAGGGTGGCGGAAGCGTTCGTCAGGAGGCGTAGTAGCCCTCGTGCCTCTTCCGGCATTTCTCGCGGGCGATGTAGCACAGCGCGATGGTGATCAGTACCGCGATGGTGATCCCCATTCCGATGCTGATCCACATGATCTCTTCGTTAATACCACTGTAGCCTTTCCCTGAAAG